GGGGCGCCCGCGGCTCAGGCTCCTTGCAGGTAACGCGCGGGGCGGCCCCTGCAGGGCCGAGCGTGGCCGATCGCGCCGCGGGGCGTGTGGAGTTGGGCGCGGAGCTGCGCGGGCTCCCTGCTGCAAACCCCCGAACCCCAGAGCCCCTGGAGGCGGCCCGGGCCCGGGAGGCTGCTGGAGGAGTTGGCTCCGGGACCCCGGCTGCGGCCAGGGCCAGGGTCACAGGGGACGCGGACGCCGCACGCCCTCGTGTAAGCAGCACGCGGGACAAAGGGTGTGCGCCCCGCCTGCCCGCGCCCTGGGTCCGTCTCTCCCCCGGCCGAGGTCACCACCCATCCTCTGCTCCTTCCAGCTCGGCCCAGGGCTCACCGGGTGCCTGCGGCGCGTCCCCAGAGCCGCCACCTGGCCACGGGGCCCCGAGCCTGGCCGCCAGCTGGCCGCGGTGCAGGCGATGGCTGGGCACAGCCCGGCCGCTTGGCCGACTGCCCTGGTTCGGAGGCGGCTCCCCCGCAGCGCCGCGAGTGACAGCTACTCCGTGCTTGGCTGAGGAGCAGAGCTGCGTGAGAGCTGGGGCCACCGGCCCGCCGCCCGGGGCCACCGAGCCCCCAGTTCCCGGCTTGGGCTTGGAGTTGGGGGAAGCCGAGCAGGTGGTGCAACCCCCCCGCCTCACCTCCTGTGAACTCCACGGGGCTCCAGGGCTTGTTGATGTTGTGGCTGTGTGTGAGTGTGTGAGTGTGTGTGTGTGTGTGTGTGTTTAACCACACACAAAAGAAGGGAGGAGTTAGAGGTACGCTGTAGCCACCGTGAGTCATCCCACACTTTGCTCTTTCCCGGGGAGAGCAGATGGATGGGGAAAATTCCTTGAGAAACAATTATAGTAAGGACTGAATGGGTCCCCTCTCTGTCCCCTTTCCCTGCAGTCCCGGCTGCGTGTGGACATGAGTTCCAGACCCAGGCCGGGTAAAGTGAGGCCAGCAGGCTTAGATGGGAAAGTAGGTACAAGCTAGCCACCTGGAAACTTTCCGGGACAGTGGAGCCACACACGTTTAACGCAGGCAGCCATGGCGCTCCTGCGCGTCTGAATTTAAAACCCAGAAGGACCCCTTCAGTAGCGTTTGGCTCAGCCCTGTGTGGGGAGGGGAGCAAAGAGGGCCCAGGACCCGGTAGCCAGCTCAGGGTCTCCAGGCTACTGCCAGGCCTGCAGATGCTGGGTCAGAAACGGTGGCGCCCTTTGATCTGTTTCCACAGGCACTGTCACATCCCAGCCTGGCAGCAGGCATCTGGCTATGGGGACGGGCCATTTCTGATGCGGTAGAAAGGCCAATAAGCCCTCTGATGGCATGGAAGAATATGCCTCCGTAGGTGACTACTGCAATTTTTCAAGGTGAATCACTTAGGTCTGGTCTCACCATTGCATTTCCTGCAGTCCAGGCGGCGGTGTCTGCTGTCACTAGGTCCCCATGGTTCACAGCTCAGTGACATTTGTTTTTTGGGGTCCCTGTTTGAGGTCTTTTTGACCTTTCCATTGCTGATCGATTAACTCCTTTTGAGCTCTAGGAAGCAGAGGCTTGATATATGTTTGAGAAATCAGGACCCGAGGGCCCTCGACTTTGTTCCAAGTGCAGCTGCTCTGGAGGGGCTAGTGGGCTCTGTGGCTGGGGGGACTGGATGGAGCAACCTGCTTGCTCTGGGGCCACAGTAGAGTCTTCTTCCTCCTAAGGTGAACTTCCTATCCAGTAAGGGCCTGGGGCCTATCGAGAGAAATGAAGACTGTCCTTTCTGATTTCATGGCCTGGGTATAAAAAAGAATCCAGCGTCTTGTCCCCATGTCTGCCCCCAACTCAGAGAGAATGTCTTTTACCTGAGTGCCGGCAGGCACTCAGATCATATTGGAACAAAGGCCACTTACAGTTTGAGGAAGGGGAGTTGGGGAACAGGCTCACCATGTGTGGTTGGGCAGTTTATGCAAGGCACAAAGACACCCACCTTTGGTCTGCCTGAAAAAAGGATGCTCCTGGGACCAGCAGTTAGCGTAATGGCTATGTCGCTGGACTCCCATGTAGTCTACTGCGGTTCGCGTCCCGGACCCAGTGACTTAAAACTTACTCCGGGCGCATGTGCGTGCGTGCCCAAGATCCCAAGAGGAGAATGGAGGAGAAGGGATTGTGGTGTGGCTATCCTCCTTGGGGGGTCATTTCTCACTTTCTATCTCTGTCTCTGTCTGGCGAGCGCACGTGCCCTATAGCAAAAGCCTCTCCAAAAAAAAAGGATGCTCCTGTTTTAATTGTACTAGTCATCTAGTGCTTCTGCTGGCCCTGAATGATAAGCCCATCTCTGGGAATGAACAACTGAGGCCACCACAGGTGTTTCCAAGGCAGGAAACACCTGGTCAGGGACTAAGCACCTATGACTAAGGTCCCAATAATAATAATAATAATGATAATAATAATAATTAATAATAGTAAAGGGAACTAAGTGTGTACATCACCTCATTTCATCTTCCCCACAGTCTCCTGAAGAATGTAGTGGTATGCTATCGTGCCGTTGAGGAAACTGATCCTTAGACTCAATCGCTCAAGGTCACACAACCGTCAAGACATTTGTCCATCATGCTCGCAGTCACTGAGAACTTCATGGGGGTTTCTGTAACACACTGCAGTTTTATTGCATTTGCTAACGAAAGGCATTTTCCATGTTAGCAGTAAATCTTTTCTATATATATATTAATTTTTACTGTATTTATTTATTTTTAATTTGATCAGAGAGGGACAGAGAGAGAGAGTGAGAAAACAAACCACCAGGTCCAGGATTCGAATTGTGTTCGACCATGTGGGAGTCCAGTGCCCCAACCACCATGCCATCTGCTAGCCCCAACAGTAAATCCTTTCAATGAAAAGGGCATTTGTGATTATTTTCAGTGGTAGCAAAGATGTGGGAATCCTGTCGACCATGAATGGAGGGGGAGCCCTTGAAATAGAAGAACAGAGAAGTTGCAAGGAAGGGAGGCGAGCCAACCGGAAGGGACAGCACAGAGTGAGGTGGGTGGGCCCCATGTCTTGAAAAAGAAGAGGAGGAGAAAGTCTTTCTGAGATTGGCAGCTTCTCGAGAGCTGGGGCCTGGCCTACCAGGACATCCCAGATCAACATCCCTCTTCATATATCTTGGTTGCTGCTTTGGTACCAATGTGAGTAGCCTGGGTTACAATCCAAGATGAAGAGGGGGATCTGGTAGTTAATTTGGGAGCTCTGACTTTTTCCTGACTCAGTAGTGTTCCCGAAAGTCCATGTGACCCTCATGACAACGTTTTGTGAATTGGTAGTCGGATATTTTGGGATAAAGCATCAACCAAGATACACATAAGGAGGACTGTGGACCCCAAAGTCGGACAAGGTCAAAACCAGGTTTCTTGCCTCTTGTTAGCTCTATGGCATGTTTAAAATTGGTACAAATTATTTATATTCCTTCATATTCTTTAAACTAGCAACACTTTTATTCCCTCTCCGTTTGGTCATGTCATCTTCCTAACTATTGATTCTTTTAAGTTCTTAAGAGTTGTTGTTCATTCTTCCTCTCTCTCTTTCTCTCTCTCTCTCTCTCTCTCTCTCTCTCTCTCTCTCTTTTCTAAGTAACACGAGTCATTTCTTTAGCTGAGAAGTGAACATGGTGGTCAGGGCTGCATGGTGACCTGCATTGTGTCTGCAGCTGTAATTCGAACCTGAGCAGACGGCAGCAGGGTGGAGTGGAATATCCCCCAGGGCTTGCTGACAGCCTGCCTTACATCAGGCAGCAAGGCTCCAGGCTCCAGGGACAAGCCGTCACAGGGTGGTAGAGTCTTTCATCTCTGGATTGTAAGTCTGGCCCCTGAAAGGGAACACTTTACCCTAGAGTGCCGTGTCCCGGTGCCTGAGGATCTGTCGCGGTGCCACCTTCACTCAGAGGCTGTGAGAGATGCCTGTGCCCTCACACGGCCTATTTAGCTGCTCGCTCAGTGATTCTGTAATCTGTATATTCACTCGGAAATCTGAAAACAAGGACATCTGCTCAAGGGCCGTGGGGTTTCCTCCCATCCCGGCATGAAAGGGTTGGGGCAGGTCCCTGGTAGGGAAGACGGGGCTCGGTACCAGTAAACTCAATACTAAAGGGACTGTTCCGAAGAGAGCCATTCTGCGTTATGCTTTCTCCTGGAAGAACGTGTGAGTAAAAGCAGCTAACCTCCCCACCGCGCAGTAAAGGCAGGCAGCGTGGCACTCCCATTTGGCCCGATGATGACTGCATAAGGTAGGCACTGTTCTCATGCCCGTGTTAGAGGGGAGGAAACAGGCCCAGAGAGGTTCAGTAACTTGTCCAAAGTTACATGAGATTGAAACCAAGCAGTCTGAATGAATGTAATCCTGGCAAATTCAAATAAAGTACCTGAGGGTGTGGTGGAAGTAGGGACAGATAAAATGAGATTTGAGGGGCAGTTTGATATTTGGGTGAATGGCAAGGCAGGAAATGCTTAGGCACCTCTCACTGACGGCAAGTTCTCGTGCTTTACACAGTGTCACAAGACGGGCTTGGAGGGGAGAGCTGACAGACCCAACTGTGACTCAACTCATAATATTCCTGGCATTAACATTCTGCTGGGCCAGCAGGTGGCATGGTGGTTAAGGCGCTGGACTCCCACATGGCCGACCACCATTCGAGTCCTAGACATGGTAGCTTGCTTTCTCTCATTCTCGCTTTCTGTCTGTCTCTGGTGAGTGCATGTGCCCTATACCAAATTAAGTAATAATAATAATAAATAAAATAAATAATTCTTAAATTTTGTTTGTTTGTTTTGCCTGTTGGACAGAAAAGTTCTAAGCAATTTTATATTTTTACCTTGACTCTTTTACCAATATTGAAGGTCACGTCCTCATGTAGTCCTTCCTCTTCTCTTTTGGGATATAGCTCAACCTCTTCTGGGACAAGATACTGCCTCAAAGCAGCCATTTCCTCTATATGATCCTGTATGTGTGGGCCATTAGCCTGGCCATCGGTTGTTCAATCATATGCTCTGTCTCAATGATGTCTCTCTCTGTCAGAGTTTTATCAGCTGGTTTGTATGCCTGACTTCTCCAAACTGATCATAAGCTCACTCAGAATTAGGGTCTCACACACACACACACACACAATGTGCTAAGACCCAACAATGACTACTTAGTGATTTTTCTTGATTAGATAAAAATTGAAGTTTGTCCTTAAGCTTCATAAACGGCCTCAAGGCTATTCAAAATGATTTGCTGGGGCCGGCAGGTGGCATGGTGGTTAAGGTCACAGTACTCCCACGTGGCCAGCCATGATTTGGGTCCCAAACCTGATAGTTTGCTCTCTGTCTCTTGTAAAATTAACAAATAAGTAAATAAGTACAGGTAAATCAAATAATTCTTTTAAAAAATGATTTGCCTTCTGGGATTAATAAATGTAGGTCTCCAATAAATCATTATTTCTGAAAGGTTGTCCAGTGTCAGAAACCCTAGGGCTTCTGCCATGATCCTCGTGGCAGGAGCCAGGAATCGCACGTCCCCCTTCCTGCCCACTGGATTTTAAAACCACAACATAAAGCGTTTAGTGACTCCATCCTGTAGAACTGCAGATGCGGGACTCTCTAGCTCTTACTCGGGTAGGGTAAACTGGTCCCTGAGGAACTTCCTGCCCACATGCTGACGCGACTCTGCGATGTTCTTCCTTGCAGGTTTCTAGCCAGCATAATGCTGGAGCTGGCGGTCGGCAGCCCGCGGTTTGCACAATGGCCGAGCTGGATGCCGACTTGGATCACATCATTCCGGCGTCCGTCCTTCCTCCTTTCTGGGCTAAGTTAGTAGTAGGATTCGTTTCCCTTGTGTGCTTTGCGCGGAGCTATGATGGAGATTTTGTCTTTGACGACTCTGAAGCCATTGTTAACAACAAGGTTTGTACCTTAACTTTTTCTTGTAAACGTGTTACCCACTTGCCCACATCTTGTCGTGTCCACATTGGCAGTACCAGGCGTAGGTTAAGCAGTTGCCCGGGCCTGATTAAGCTGTTCATTCCCCATCTCTTTTTGACATTGTCGTTTTAAATTTAGTGTCTCTGTTATTGCTGACAGCCAGTTCTCCATCTCCTGCCTAAACCCAGCCTTCAACCTCACGAGGGCCCCGCGCACATGTGTGTTAGAGAGGCCGTTCTTCTGAGATTACAGGGCAGGATATTGTGAACTGAGTATTTCAGGTTTTGTGAAGAATTTCTACAACTGTTTTTAGAAAGCAAATCATGCGCTTGCTGCAGTGATGGACAGATCTGATCGCCTGCTGGAAGGCGCAGCCTCAGCACCAGCAGTGAGCTCCCTGGGTCGCCGGACCCCTGCCAACAGCTGGCGGGGCCTGAGGACCATGCCGCCCGTGGTGCTGCCCTAACTGTACATTTCCTGTCTGGAGATTCACATCCGCTGAACTTGCAAACTCCCTCTTCTCTTCATTCACC